CGGGTCAGAGGCGGATCCAGGATTTAAACCTTATGGGTTCAACTTTTAAAATTTTTAGCATTGAACCCATTACATTTTTAAAGTTATGGGTTCGTATCTACTATTTTTGCAATTTTAAAGAATTTTTACATATAAATTTTTACTTCGCGTTAAAAGTTATGAGTTCAATTGAACCCGCCGAGTATATTACATCCGCCCCTGGGCCGGGTTGGTTCGGGTTTTGCAATTACCAAACTAAACCAATTGTGTCGGGTTATTAAATCTAAAGACCAGACCAAACCAACAAAACTTGGGTTTTTAATCTCGGTTTTCTTGAGTTTTCGGGTTATTCAGAGTTTTTCATTTTTTTTCCTCGTAACACAAAACATATAATTTGTGCCCCAAATATTTCTTTAATCCTAGTAAGATACAACTATATAAGGTGCTTTTCAAGAAAATAATACAAAATATGAGATGTGTGCATTTATCCTAAAATATGCAACAATAAAGACAATAAAATCATGTAATATAAATATTGCTAATTAAGAAGTCATAATAAAAATAAACATAATTTAAAAGTACTAAGTGATGCTAAAATAAGTAGACTAATAAGAGAATATTAATTACATGACTAAACACTAAAGAAAAAAATAAAAATAGGTTATGCATTTTTATCTAAATCATTGCAAAACAAAAAATAGATATTCAATACATTGCCATTCCTAGTATTCAATTGAATGTCTTTTGTTAGCATTAGTATTGATCTGATTTTGGTTTGGGATTTTGTTAGCATTATTTGAGTTACTAATATTAATGGCTATAAAACTTATTGGAACATTCAAAAGTACTAAGTCCAACATTGAAATAATAACTTAAAAGATAAAATCATGAAAAAATTTAAAAAATATTTATAAATTACATCACAAACAAGTATATTTATGTATTAACAACAACAACAACCCAGTATAATCCACTAGTGGGGTTTGGGGAGGGTAGTATGTACGCAGACCTTACCACTACCCTGGGGGTAGAGATGCTATTTTCGATAGACCCTCGGCTCTCTCCCTCCAAGAACTCTCCACCTTGCTCTTGGGGTGACTCAAACTCACAACCTCTTGGTTGGAAGTGGAAGGTGCTTACCACTAGAGCAACCCACTCTTGTCGAACTCATAAATATATATTTAATACATTTATGTATTAAATATATCTAAAATGTCTATATATGTAATGCCGGGTTGGTTTGGTTGCGGTTTGACTTTTTTAGTTAAAACCAAACCAAACCAATTATGGTCGGGTTTTATTTCCCAACACCAAACCAAATCAAATCGAATCATAGTCAGATTGTTTTCTTGGTTTGACTCGAATTATCGATTTGGTGCGGTTTGTCGATTTTCTTTGTATACCCCAACAGTTAGGCCTATGTTGCTACGATATTATTCCAAGAAAGCGGGTGCTTTAGCTTTAGAAGTTCGGCCCTTTTTTAGGATCGTAAGGGGGAATGACTTTTTCTAACACATATTCAGTTGTACCAGAAAATTTCTGATAATTTAAGGATCCGTCGACGTATTCTACCTATATCTTTTAATTCTTTCATGTTCATGATCAAAGTACAGTGTAAACGAGATAGATGATAACGTCTGGATTTTTTTAATGTGATTATTAGATTGAGGTCAAAAACTAAGAATTTGGTTTTCTACCTGCTCCCATCTGTTAATTTAAAATAATATTATATACATCCATTTTGTGCGTAATTGACAATTTTTGTCGTCTTATATAATGTTAATGAAGAGAATGAATTTTTTCTCAAGAAATCTGTTTTTTAAGACAAGTACTTATTGCAAGGAAGTTTTATACGAACATTGTCAATAAGATCTTTACATTTCTAACCCAATTAGCTAACTTAAACAATAATCGCAATGGAAAAATCTAGAATTAGTCACGACTAGGAGACAAAATTTGAGGTACATACGTCATTTCTTAACAAATATAAGAATATGTTTTCTTTATCAAACATATACGCATACGTATAGGTTAATTTTGTAGACGATGAAGTAAAGAGTATACTTAGTGGTGTCACACAGGGTGGAGTAAACCTCTTTCGCCTGAAAATTATATTGTATATAGCCAAATCTATACATACAATATATACTGTATATATAAGGTCAAAACCTGTTTAGTTACTTGTTTCTGTTCTCAATTTAGCTTTTCCCTAATAAATATTATGTATTAGTAATCGGGCTCTGAATTTACTTTTATTCATATTTAATTAAAAAAAAATATTAATACAAAGATTTAAACTAAAACTATTGAATTTGACTGAATCGATACGTAACCTGGCCCTGCTTTGGAGTATATTCTATCTTGCAAGTTACTACACAGTTAAACATTCTTTACCCTAATTATAATGGATAGGCCGACGATGAAAATTGTTTGAGAAGCTATTGAATAATATTCCAAACACTAATGCAAAACCATACTGATTAATGAGAATTAACTAACATGATTAGCTAAATCTCTGATCATCTCCTAAACTAATTAAACGGTTCGATCAATCTACCCCAGAAGCGGATACATAATTTAAATAGTTTAGGTTCAATCTTTAAAGCTATTAACATCGAACTTATTATACCTTTAAAATTATTGATTCAAATCTAATATTTGACGAGATTTCAAAAATTCTCATATTTGCACCTATATAATTTCGCGTTGAAAATATTAGGTTCGAATAAATTGACAATCGAAGCTGCATCCGCTATTGCTAGCTAGGAATTAAGGTTGATAATCAATGACATGGTACAATATTATTTCCCCCAAAAGATAACGAGGACATAGAAACGTGGTGGAGTCGATAACATCACAAAAGGAATTGTTATTCATGAGTAGCTTTCACAAAAATAATAATATTTGATCTATATATATACAATATAATTTTTCAGCAAAAAAATATTCAACTGACGACCCTTCTGCATATGTAGCTCCACCACTTGGGATTAGAGTGGGTTATTTACTCTTCTAAATTACTCCTACATAAATATGGTATTTACATATGGTTAATAATTAAGCCGATAATGTAAAAATAAATAAATCATACACTATTAATAAATAGAAGTTAACTGATATTAGTTATAGAGTTAAAGTTATATATACCGTCAGAGTAAACTATTTTATACCATCATACTATTTTTAACTGTTATAGATGGTAATCTATATTATTTTGTAAAATACAAATCCAATATTTTAAGAAGACGTATCTGTAGATAATTTTTG